ACGTCGCGCAGTAACTTAGTTAACCGTTTACGTACTAATTCCCGCGCCGTTTTTTTACTCTTGGTTTATGGCTGTTGCCGATTGCATCCGTCTCGGGAAGACGAGGATAACAGTGGAGTGGCAAATGTAGGGAAAAAGCGAAGAGAGAGAGAGAGAGAGAGAGAGTTAGATCTACATCCTGTATACGTGCACTCCAATGTACTTTATAATCCTGCGTCTCATAGATAAACGCATCCAGACTAATGGAAGAAGCATCTCGCAACGTGTCGCGCAAGAGTCGGAACGAAAATAGCCAACATCAAAGAAGACGCTAAGTCGTCCTATGTACGACCAGCTAAGTCTCGGATAAAGCTGTTGCAGTCCGTGTAAAAAAGACGTTTCTCTTTTTTCTTTCTTTTATCAACATTGACCAGATACTGTAATTTCGCACGAAAATAACTCGCATCAAAGCCGGAACGGAATCCTGGAACGGAATCTTGCTCTCGCTTAGAGAGCACGAATTTTTCCGCATAAGCGGGGGAATAAATAATTAGATCTTTTTTTTTCCGCGCGCGCGATACATATCGAGCTCGGCCACGACAGCAGTTTAGTAATCAGTCGCGTTTACTACTCTCCGCGCGAATTAAATCCACGTTATGCGGCGCATCGCGCGGCGCGCTTGCTCCTTTTTGCAACAGACGAATTTAGAACGGAGAAAAGGGAGACGCGGGACACAGAGATTATAGTTTAAATTCCACTTCCATTCGACGTGCACTGCTATAATACCCGCAAGCGCACATATTGCGCACTCTAATCTGAGGACGGGGGGAGGTCTAGGTTGACTGCAACTGAATTAAAAATCGTGAAAGAGGCGGAATCATCTCCGAAAACGCATTGTCTCTTTAATGCCAACGGAATCTCGCATCAATTCACCGTGTCTAATAAGATTTCGATAAATTCTCGAGCGATCGAATTGCACGATAGCGTGTAATAACAATCAGCGACGGGACATCGAAACTACTGCGGGAAATGAGAAATGGAGGAACTCGAGGAAGGACTCGAAAAGCAAAGAGGAGAGGAGAGAATCGATCATTACGCGCTTCTAACCAGCGAGCCCGCGCAATTTCGCGTTTATATCGCGGCGGTTGCTCCATAAAATCCACGTTTCCCAAGCCCGTTCTTCGCCCCGGCGATGATACGATTGCTCCTTTTCTCTACAGATATAGAACGCGGAAAAGGGAGTAGCGAAACTCCGCGAAGAGACGCGCAGTCGGTCCTACATCTTACCTATATTAAACGTCGAAATACAAATCAAACGCGTATTCGAACGTTTCTGATATTACTTAACTACAGGCACACGCCTATTGCTCTTTTACCTGCGATACGAGACGATGCAATCGATTAATATCGTCAAGGATTGCATAATTTCCGCGATTGCCATAATCGATCAAAGTTCGCCATTTCTACGGAATAAGTCAAACAGGACTCGTTATTAGAAACGTCAGTTACATCGGGTTCGCGTGAGAACGATACGCGTGACGTACGACATATGACCTCTTTCTCTTCCCTCTCCCCCTCACCCTTCCCCGCTCTTTTTCTCTCTTCTCTCTCGTATATAATATCGATAATATCATGCACTCTTCGGTGCGCCCCGTTGCGTGTCTGAACGCATAAAGCTAGGACACACGGGAAAGATACAGCCATGTAGCTCGAAACGAACGAGCGACCGACGAACAATGTAATGACAAACGAGTTTGAACGCAGCCAGGCATCGTTCCTATTTCCGCCCGGAAAGAAGCGCGTCCACCGGCACTTAACAAACTTGATATTCAATTCACGTGATGTTAGGCAAAGATATTTATAGATCGAGCCAAGCTTACATTTTTGTAGTAATGTAATAAAAGAGCTGCACTTCTAAAAGTATAATATTTCATCCATGTTTAAAGGTATGTTAAAATATGTGACGTAGGAGCTTGAATAATTATGATTCACATCTATAATCGAGTGCGAGAAATTATACAATTGTAGAATTATCTTAATTTATTAATTATATTAATTAATTTATAGAAAAGATAAAACATTTTTATCTTGCATGGAAAATGTGCGACCGTTAAATGAAAGATCACGTGACGTGACGTTGCGAAAAGCCGTGTAACATCCATATTTTCACGTCCGCGATAACAATATTCGTGTCCTTCGAGTGGACGTCACCGATACAATCGTCCACGTTCGTTCGAAAGTGATGAAAAAAAAAAAAAAAAAGTTGCGGCTTTCTTATGGGCAGCAATTTATATATTCATATTCTCTCGCGCGAACATTGATATCTACAGTGCTTATAATTGAGCGCGATATAATATAAGCAGGAGAGAGACGCGCACACAGGACGAGAGCGACTCGACACCATACAAATGCTCGTATATCGCGGCGGTTGCGGCGACGGCAGCAGCCAGCAACGATGCGCGTGCACACGCAAAAGTGCGTGTATGTACGTCCTAAGCGTAGATACCGCCAGTGGCACGATCACAGACGCGGACGACTCGTGTATATAAATAGCTAGTTAGGGTCGATGGACAGACTAAAGAGGAGAGAACGTGAGAGCCGGGATTCATTCACCTGCAACAGCAGCAACCGATCGAACGCGTCTAACAGCGCGATTACCCCACTTGGTCAATTTGCTCGTCGACTACTCTTGACCCAACATCGCATTGTTAATCGGAGAAAAAAAAAAAAATTGCCTTTTCCAACGCTTCCTGGTACGTTTCAGCGCGGCGTAGAAAAGATAAAACTGATAGCCGAGTGTTTCCGATAGATTTTCGCGATAGAATTTCCGCGCGTCGAGTAAATAAATTGAACAAAATAAAAGGAATAAACTTGAAAAATCGGGAGCAAAATTCTAAATAGGCTGCCAAATGGAATATCTGATAATAATTATACGGCATGCCTTCCTTCCGCGGTATAGATTCGGGATAATTATAGTATAATTATACGCGTTCCAATCCCAGATATTAATCAAATTGACTGGGCATGATGGAAAGATGAGATATCGATTATCGCGACTATGTCATGTATGTGAATGGTCGGGGCAGCATCGCGTTTCGGCTCGATTGTAAAGAGCAGCCGGGAAGAAACGCGCGTCGCGAAAGCCGAAAGATGAGACGAGACGTTAGCGTGTTAGTCGGAGCGCAAGTCTCGTTATTTCCCTCGGGCATCTCTGAGCGAGATGCTCCGGCTCCACGGTTCCAAGTTTGCACGTCGGAGAAGTGCCAATAATTGTAACCGCCCGCGGCGATGTTCCAGCGCATTTTGCCTCCGAGCAAGGAGCTTGGGAAAAACGCGCGGGCGTTTTTTTTTTTTTTTATCTCTCGCTCACGCGTCAGCGAATGTCTAGATAAGAATAATCAGGAACCCGCGGTAAAATAATCAATTTGGAAAGCGACCTCGTCGGTTTTATTTTTTTCATTCGGCCATTAGCCGGAATTAGACGTTACCCGACACTCGGCCCGGTCATTAAGCTGGAGCGATTATTAAATCGCCCGTAATGAATCATTCGTTTAAATAACGATCACGATGTGGATTTCTGTCTAGACCGATAAAAGCGTATGGGATACAACGTTGATTAGAGATGGACAAGGAGTACGGAAAGACGAGCGCGCGCGACAATTGTGGTAAATCGCGTTTCATTCAACCAAAGTCGAATCGATTCAACGATCACGCCAAGATCCGACCGTGCCTCGAATTCCCGTTAGTCGCTTACAAGTCGCAATGTCGAAAGCGGCAGCAGCAAGACACGATCGGACTTTAAGACGGGAATTGTGATGCCACAGAAGCTCGTGGGTGTACGCGACATTGTCGACGTAACGCGGCTACGAAAGGTCGCACGCCTAAAGGAACGATGAAACCGCAGATAGGGCAGGTCGCAGCAGGAAAACGTAATTAGAAGCGCTGGCTCGAAAGCCGCAATTATACGGGGTGTCCCATCCTTACCCACATTATTTTATAATAGCACAGATATTCTTTTATCAGTTTATAGTTGTTTAAAAAAAATGTCTATTGAAATTTTAATAACGATCATCCTCGAATCGATTTTTTATATCTATTAAAATATATAAGTTGTAATTTACTATGGAAATACACGAATGATGTAGGGTATAATTTTCTGATTATCTATGATGTGTCTATGACGCACAATGCGTGAAATAAAAATGACGCGAAGAATAAATGACGATTCTCTTCACGATTCACGCGCATCAATTGCTGACGATGCACTACTGGTAAAAACGTCAAAGTGATTGGCGCTTTTGCGTCTGTGAGGTCAAATTATGTTTATGTCTTGTAGTGTCGATAGACACCACAGGCAAAAAATCTCTGTGATTCATCACGATGAAATAAAAGCACGAATACGATCATCGATTCGAGATACGAAAGCATCATCGATCGAATGCAGTTTATTAGATCTCTCTTTCGAATTGACATGGCTCCGTGTTATGACGATGTTATGGCGCCCAAATTAACGCCACTTTGTGCCGAGCGCTCGCTCACGGCGGCAAAGTTAACATAAAGCGATGGTAAAAATACTACGATTATTTTTGGAGCGAGAACTCGTGGAACTCCAACAACTACAAACGTTTACACCAATCACGCGACTCTCTTGGCCACGCCGTACTTTTAACTCCGCGGATATCCCATTAATTTTCCCGACGTTTCTTTCGTCAGCCGTTTGCTTGCGTTTCGGTAAAATTCGACGCCGTACCAAAACTTTTGCCTAATCACGATCTTTGACGACTGTTATTGACTGCAAGAGATATTCGAAGCGTGAAAATTCATTCGGCGGTAAAACTCGGGCAATTAAAAACTTGGACTCTCTCGAGTCACATTTAGCCGATTCAGATTCTACAAGTTTCCTTAAAAGCTGCAAATTATTTACCAATATAAATAAATTTATATTATATGTCGATTTTCGTAGAATGCAACCAAAAATCTAGATTCGTATGAATAATTCAACATCGATTTTCGCCAACTACCTTTCACCTACTCCAGTATAAGCATCAAGCTATTATCTTCACGTTAAATCGTTCGTTCGTTCACGGAGGCACGCAACAGGAACACTGGTCTTGTATAAAAAAAACGAATAAAGAAGGCACACATTTTTTTTCAACGCGATCACACGATGTAAATCGATATTCGAATGCGGAAGAAGAGGGGGCACACGCGACGCAAAAAAGGGGCACGCACGTAGGGGATGTGTGGGCGGACTCTTCTTCCGGCACGATGCGAGCAGCCTTGCGGCGGGGCAGCGACTGTCTTTGCTACGAGAAGCTACCGTGTGTCCCTCACATACGCATTTCTCGCGCTCACGCACTCCGACTACCTTCCTTCTCTTCACACTCATTGCACTGCAGCCCCTCTCTCTCTCTCTTTCTTTTTGTCCCTCTCTTTTCTCGCTGCTTGTATTCTCCGTCCTCGTCACTCTATCAGTTCTTATCTGCCTCTCCCTCCTCCTTAAATGAATAAATCAATTCTTATTCTTTCTCTTGTCTCGTCTCTCGTCTCCTTCATTCTTTTGCCTAGCTCATCGTCCTTTTAATCCTCCCTTTGCATTTTCTCAACGTGTTCTCTTCACTGTGATGTTTTCATTTTGGAGCTTGGTTGAAGATAATAGAAAAAGTGCACTCGCTAATTATTCGCCTTCCTTAAATTTTGCTAATCTTCGTGTTTATCGATTCTTCTTTGGTATATTAAAAGTCTCTCCCGTTCATTTCTATCAAGAAAAATAACGAGAGGGAGAATTATGTTCACTCATCGTAGTAATTCGAAGAAAATAAGAGGAGCGGGCTCGATTCCCTGGAGGAAATCCACGGGATTAAAGAATGTCGACCAAGCGACAATGATGAAAATTAGCGTCATATCCTCGAACACCATCTTTAAAACAATATTGTGTGAAAAGCTGAATTTTGTGGAAATCCTTGAGATTTTTTATAGTTCTAAAGAAATGGAAACGCGTGACCGAATTCTCTCTCTCTCTCTCTCTTTTTCTCTTTTCTCTATGTGTGCAACTTTTAGGGCAAGTGATGTAAGAAATGTACAATTCTATTCTTGCGGAAAAAATTACTGGAAATGAAACATGAATAATGATTTATTTCGAAATATTTCACGGCGAGCGTCCAAGCAAAAGGGAAACGACCGCGAATAAATCTGGGTCATGTGCGTGACAGTGCATGTTAGAGAATAGTCGCGAAGATCGTTAAAGACGATTGATCGCATTCATCGTGGTCGAAAATTTACGCAGGAAACGTTCAGAAACACGAACAAATGTCGAATGAGATGTGACGTTTAAACCGATCGATGTCTAATACGGCATAAAAACAATGATGACATAAACATAGAAACGACCGTGCGTAATACGACTCTTATTTAGATCGGGTCTTGGATCATGTACATCGGTGACTCAATCAAGGGGAGTAGAATCGCAAGAAATTCCGTGTGTACTCAATGCATCGTCGTAGTTACGTGACAACGAGATTATCACTGACTCGTCCTTTCAATCTCATCTTTTACATTGTAAAAAAGATTTTATAGAATTATACTTATTATTCAAGCAAATTTTTTACAATGTACGAACAAGAGAAAAATCACTATCTACAATTCGAGATCAAGATATATAACAATTTTTTTTTAGAGTTGTGTATCAGTACAGTTTTTTTCAAAATGCTATATTTTTATATAACTTCGATTAGAAACGAAATTATTGTTACTGCGAACAAATGCGAACAAAATATTATCTCTTGTATTAAAAACTTATTAAATTTAATTAGATAATTAATTAGGTTATCAAAAATAGAATGCCAAATTCAAATAACTGGAAATTCAATGAGTTCATATAAATGCGAAGCAAAGAAAATTTTAAGCTGAAAAACTGAGGGCAAGTGTTATCACGTCAAATACTACGCATCTTAACTTATTACTATTATTACACTACGTTCTTAACTTATTTTTAGAAATTTTTGACCGAAAAATACAAAATTTCGACATTTTTCTTTATCTAATTGATGACGAGTATGAAGAGCGAAGGAAATACGTTGACAAAAGCGCGAGATCGGTAGAAAGTAAAGGAAAGCCGCGATGTCGCGTTTTTCGCTCCTCTGCTTGCCTCCCGTCCAGACTGTGCTGTGGTGCATCTCACACGGAAAGCTCATGTTTGCGGTGCATGTCGACACAGCTGTCGGGAATCGACGTGGCTACGGTCACCGCCTCGATCCAGTGGCTGGCGCGATCAGCAATGTAAATATAAGCGCGAGCGCGCGCGACTTCGTTAACAGTCTATTATTCTGTACTGAAGGTCCGAACAACTTTTATTATCTATTCGTTGTCGTTGGAACGAGATGTAAGTCACTTTCATCTATCCTAGAGGATATCTCGGTAGAAAGGGCTAGAGAAATGTTTGTAATTTATATATAATTTCTGATACCTTTAAAAGATATAATTTTTGTTTCTTCGTTTTGGAGGAAACATTTTTTTCCAACTTCAACGATTATTAATCTGGATAATTAATTATAATTCGGATCTCATATCTTTTCGATACGAAAGTATTTTGGAAACGCTCGTATACAATCTTTACTTGACGTGCTCAAATTGAAGAATGATTAACGATGACACGAAGCCACTGTGAAATTAATCATCCTAGATTTTCCAGGAACTTATTGAAGGGTCGACTTAACCTCGTTCTTGTGCACAAAAAAAAAAAAAAAACTAAGATCATGTATAACGTCATTCCACTTTACGTTTAATATTGTAGGTTTATTCGACCGCGTCATATATTGTCGTTTTTTCGTGAATCGAAATAAACCACAAGGAATTCCGCGCGTAAATCGCAAAAGAGAGAGCTTGTCCGCGCGTCCCGTGACCGATAACACGCCTCTGCGTCGCGTCAAGAGAAGCGGCTCGTTGTTCTCGGCGTCCGCGTCCGTGCCGAAAAAATAAGATCAAGCGCGAGGAGCGCGCGATAAATCAACTGTCCGCGGACAAAAGTATCTCCAAGTTCATCGAACCGCGCTTATATACGACCGAAGATACGAACGTACTCGACAATGAGTCGGTAGCATCGTTGCAGTCTCGTTGATTGCACCCTCGAAATGCACGATGCACGACACGCACGTGACTCTCACGCGACTCTCTCTCTTTTCGCGCGTCACGTGCCATGAATTTTCGCCGCTGCTCGATCGAGTATCTCGTCCCGGTAAATTACATCGCCCACGCGTTCACGTAACACAGACACGAGATACGCTTCCCCGTGTGAGTATGTGACGTAACGTAACGACCGTCTCTCGTATCTAAATAATTATAATTAATTCCGAAATGTACTGGAATTCCTCATTTCACCCGCACGCGCGAGCTTTATTTATATCCGAAAACAAGCTACCGGTGTTCTTCAGTTTTTAAGGTGAGATGTGAGATTCACACGAGGAATATAGATTCCACATGTTAGAATTAGAAGAAATATTAAATTCTCTTTGATGCGACGAGACTGAGTGGAATTACATGTAATTATGTGTGCACGGACTTTTATATCCGATTTATATACCGGATAAAGAGAATGCTCTGCTCCATCCGTTAAGACGTCTGAGGTAATTAAATTCTACGCGACGCGTATTCGTTAATCGTTCATTTTCGCGGAAATATCTTTTTACATTTTAATTACCGGTTTGTGACTGTCCAATACTTGAGCTCTCTCCGAGAAAACCAGATTATCCCGACAGCATATTAAAGTAGATCTCTTTTATTTCTCTCGCACCGTATTTCCCAATTAAAATAATTATGAGTATATATACGAACGCTTCTTCCCACGTCGCGCAGTAACTTAGTTAACCGTTTACGTACTAATTCCCGCGCCGTTTTTTTACTCTTGGTTTATGGCTGTTGCCGATTGCATCCGTCTCGGGAAGACGAGGATAACAGTGGAGTGGCAAATGTAGAGAAAAAGCGAAGAGAGAGAGAGAGAGAGAGAGAGTTAGATCTACATCCTGTATACGTGCACTCCAATGTACTTTATAATCCTGCGTCTCATAGATAAACGCATCCAGACTAATGGAAGAAGCATCTCGCAACGTGTCGCGCAAGAGTCGGAACGAAAATAGCCAACATCAAAGAAGACGCTAAGTCGTCCTATGTACGACCAGCTAAGTCTCGGATAAAGCTGTTGCAGTCCGTGTAAAAAAGACGTTTCTCTTTTTTCTTTCTTTTATCAACATTGACCAGATACTGTAATTTCGCACGAAAATAACTCGCATCAAAGCCGGAACGGAATCCTGGAACGGAATCTTGCTCTCGCTTAGAGAGCACGAATTTTTCCGCATAAGCGGGGGAATAAATAATTAGATCTTTTTTTTTCCGCGCGCGCGATACATATCGAGCTCGGCCACGACAGCAGTTTAGTAATCAGTCGCGTTTACTACTCTCCGCGCGAATTAAATCCACGTTATGCGGCGCATCGCGCGGCGCGCTTGCTCCTTTTTGCAACAGACGAATTTAGAACGGAGAAAAGGGAGACGCGGGACACAGAGATTATAGTTTAAATTCCACTTCCATTCGACGTGCACTGCTATAATACCCGCAAGCGCACATATTGCGCACTCTAATCTGAGGACGGGGGGAGGTCTAGGTTGACTGCAACTGAATTAAAAATCGTGAAAGAGGCGGAATCATCTCCGAAAACGCATTGTCTCTTTAATGCCAACGGAATCTCGCATCAATTCACCGTGTCTAATAAGATTTCGATAAATTCTCGAGCGATCGAATTGCACGATAGCGTGTAATAACAATCAGCGACGGGACATCGAAACTACTGCGGGAAATGAGAAATGGAGGAACTCGAGGAAGGACTCGAAAAGCAAAGAGGAGAGGAGAGAATCGATCATTACGCGCTTCTAACCAGCGAGCCCGCGCAATTTCGCGTTTATATCGCGGCGGTTGCTCCATAAAATCCACGTTTCCCAAGCCCGTTCTTCGCCCCGGCGATGATACGATTGCTCCTTTTCTCTACAGATATAGAACGCGGAAAAGGGAGTAGCGAAACTCCGCGAAGAGACGCGCAGTCGGTCCTACATCTTACCTATATTAAACGTCGAAATACAAATCAAACGCGTATTCGAACGTTTCTGATATTACTTAACTACAGGCACACGCCTATTGCTCTTTTACCTGCGATACGAGACGATGCAATCGATTAATATCGTCAAGGATTGCATAATTTCCGCGATTGCCATAATCGATCAAAGTTCGCCATTTCTACGGAATAAGTCAAACAGGACTCGTTATTAGAAACGTCAGTTACATCGGGTTCGCGTGAGAACGATACGCGTGACGTACGACATATGACCTCTTTCTCTTCCCTCTCCCCCTCACCCTTCCCCGCTCTTTTTCTCTCTTCTCT